GTTTAGTCTCTCATCTGCCCCCTTGCATTTGAAAGAAGAAGGAAATGCCTTCACCATTACCTTTATTAACATAAAGATAACAGCTATCCAGTGTCATCTTGTATAAACAGCGGCAGCTGAAAGGCTTATGTTCTTCTTTTACAGGACTCTTTGACTTCATTTGACTACCGAAATGACAGAAATAGCATCATTGTTCAGTCTGAGCTTGAAGAAGTCGTGGAACATGAGACTCAGTCGTCAGCGTTACAGCTCATAACTGTCCAAAAGAACACAGAAATAAGGTGAACTATTTATAGTTTGTCTTGTACTAGCAAATATACACTCGGCATTACTAAAGGACTTTTGTTGTTGTAGGGATGAAGAGGAGGAAGAACAGTTTCATTTCAGTCTTAAAGACTTTAAATGTGTTGCAGTGTTAGGCCGTGGCCATTTTGGAAAGGTATGAGGCTATTTACAGTTTCCTTTTTTTAGTGGTGATTGCTAAGGCAATATCATTTTTGGATATTTAGGTAACACTTTAAAATAAGGTTCCATCAGTTCATGTTAGTTAATGCATTGACTAACATTAAATAACCATGAGCAAAACATTTGTTACAGCATTTAATGTTAGTTAATAAAAATGCAATTGTTTATTGTTAGTTCATGTTAGCTCATGTCCATTAAATAATATTAACAGATACAGCTATGGATTTTAGTAATGTATTAGTAAATGTTGATTTAACTATGATTAATAAATGCTTCAGATGGGTTTTTCATTATTAGTTCAGTTAACTATTATTAACAAATGGAATCTTATTGTAAAGTGTTACCGATATTTAGGGCTGTTTTTTGTGCGGATCATTTCCTCTGTTTTTACATTTAGATAAAGTTCACCTTTAAAAACACAAATAATCTCAAAATAACCATATTGAACATTATAATATTGTGATGACTTAATTTATCAGTCATATTTAAAATGTTTGATTTTAGATTTCAGTATTTTATTTTAGAGAAATTTATATGTAATATATATAATATATTCTGTATTATAAAAATAACATTTATTTTATTTGATATGGACCATTTATCGGTTATTGTTCATGAAAAAAAAAGATCAGTTTGCCAGCATCTGACATTCCTGCTTTTTTGCTATTAACTTTAGGTAACACTTTACTTAAAGCCTTTATGTATAAAGAATTATAAAATTTGTTTTAATGCATTAATTATGCCTTGTAATGCACCTTACAATGCATTGTACAATCTCATGAATAATTGTAACCACAATTAATACATTATAATAACACTTATCAATTCATTGTTGCACTATGCATTTTAAATTCGGTTATAATTATTTTCAACAAGATATAATGTATTACAACGCACATTATAATGCATTATAGCCTTTAATAACCCTTTATTTTACTTTACTTAAAGCCATTATACATAAAGCACACTGAAAATCTAGTTGTCATTAAATCTGTTTTCACTTTACCTTTTCCTCCAGGTGTTATTAGCGGAATACAGTATTACAGGTGAAATGTTTGCCATCAAGGCCCTTAAGAAGGGAGATATTGTCACACGTGATGAGGTTGAAAGGTAAATTGTTCTTCTCTTGTTTTATACGATAATTTGTGAGCAGCACTTATCAACTACAAGCTGTTTGGTCTTATTTTATCCTGTCTATTTTCTGTTCTCCCAGTTTGATGTGTGAGAAGAGGATATTCGAGACTGTGAACAGTGTGCGGCACCCGTTCCTCGTCAATCTTTTTGCATGTTTCCAGACCAAGGAGCATGTGTGTTTTGTGATGGAGTATGCGGCGGGAGGAGACCTCATGATGCACATTCATGCTGATGTGTTTTCAGAGCCGCGGGCCACGTGAGCGACACAAAAGTCATGCTTTTAGATAAATCATTATTTAAATCATCAGCCTTTGTCATCATTACTTGTTCTGTTGTTGCAGGTTTTATGCAGCCTGTGTCGTCCTGGGGTTACAGTTTTTTCACGAGCACAAGATTGTATACAGGTATTAGAAAAGATCTGTACTTAAAGAAATAGTTCACCCAAAAATGAAAATTCTGTCATTAATTACTCACCCTCATGTCGTTCCAAACCCGTAAGACCTTCGTTCATTTTCGGAACACAATTTAAGATATTTTTGATGAAATCTGAGGGCTCTCTGACCCTCCCATAGACAGCAAGGTAACTACCACATTCAAGGTCCAGGACGCGAGCGTGTGGCGGCGCTGACCCAGATCCGGCGTAATGACGTCGTAACTTTACAGTTGAACTACTGATGTGGGAGGGTCAGAGAGCTCTCAGATTTCATCAAAAATATCTTAATTTGTGTTCCGAAGATGAACGAAGGTCTTACGGGTTTGGAACAACACGAGGGTGACTAATTAATGACAGAATTTGCATTTTTGGGTGAACTAACCCTTTAACTATTGAATTTTTGACATAAATATTCATAGTTTTTCATTAAATTCATTTGAGGATTAATACATGTGTTCTTCAGAGATCTGAAGTTGGATAACTTACTGCTTGACACAGAGGGATTCGTCAAGATTGCCGACTTTGGTCTTTGCAAAGAAGGTAAGGATATGTTTGTTGTTGTGTTGTCTGCTGTACAAGCCCCAGAAGCAAATGTTCTACCTTTTTCTGTGTTAGGAATGGGTTACCGGGACAGAACGAGCACTTTCTGTGGCACTCCAGAATTTCTGGCTCCTGAGGTGTTAACCGAAACATCCTACACACGTGCGGTGGACTGGTGGGGGCTCGGCGTGCTTATCTTTGAGATGCTTGTCGGCGAGGTCAGACCTCATCCACTTCGGTTTATTCATTTCTCATCTCTCTAAATACACTACCTTAAAAGTTTGGGGTCAGAGTTTTATTTAATTTTATTTAATTTTATTTGATAAATAAGTCTCTTATGCTCACCAAGGCTACATTTCATTATTTAATTAAAAGTACAGTAAAACATAAACAAATTGGCAATTTGAAATAATTTTCTATTTTAATATGTTTAAATTAATACCCCAGTCTTCAGTGTCACATGATCCTTCAGAAATCATTCTAATATGCTGATTTGCTGTCCAAGAAATTATTATTATTATTAATGTTTAAAACAGTTAATATTTTTGTGGAAACCATGATACATTTCTCTCAGGATTATTTGATGTACAGAAAGTTATAAAGAACAGCATTTATTTGAGATAGAAATAACATTAGAAACATTAGAAATGTCTTTACTGTCACTTTAGATTCCTTCCTGAATGAATAAAAGTATTAATTTCTTACAAAAAATGTCCTTCCTGAATGAATAAAAATATTAATTTCTTACAAAAAAGAATCTTACTGACCTCAAACTTTTGAGTGTACCTCATAACTTTGACGAGGAGATAATCATATTCATATTCATACAAGCAAATGTATTAAGTGTGAAAGCGACAGTATTTTTGTAACAGGTTTGTGTTACTAAGTGAACTCATGTTTCCATAGTCTCCATTTCCCGGTGATGATGAAGAAGAGGTGTTTGACAGCATTGTGAATGACGAAGTCCGCTACCCAAGATTCCTCTCAACAGAAGCCATCTCCATTATGAGAAGGGTTGGTACTAAGAGCAGCTTTACCAGTGTGAATTTACCAGGTGCGGACATGAATATCATTCTTGTTATTAATATCTTTCACTTTCGCGCACAGTTATTAAGAAGGAATCCCGAGCGACGACTTGGAGCCGGTGAACGTGACGCGGAGGATGTGAAGAAACATCTGTTCTTCAGGGTAACTTCTGAACCATCTGGCTACATGTCTCAATTCATTCCAAGCAATGTATTTTTTTCCCCTTTCTCTTTCTCTATCAATATTATCTGTACCTTCTTTTTTCCAGAATATTGACTGGGATGGACTATTAGCAAAGAAAGTGAAGCCACCATTTGTACCCACAATCCAGAGTTCCAGTGACGTTAGTAATTTTGATGATGAATTTACCTCAGAGGCTCCGGTGCTCACACCGCCCAGAGAGCCCCGGCCCTTGACCCAGGATGAGCAGGACCTGTTTGCAGACTTTGACTATATTGCAGACTGGTGTTAGCCACTTGTTGACATCCGTCCCTCTCCACACACACACAGATACAGAAAATGTGAATCAGATCATTTGCAGAAATCCCTTTTTGTCCTCAGTGTTATTTTAGGATTACCACAACCCCTTTTCCGTATTAACATGATGAAGAAACGTTTATTATAATTTTTTTTTAAATGGAGTATGTTCAGGTTCGGGATAATTATTCCATTTCATCAGGACCTAAGCACTGATCATGAAAAACATAAACTGAGCAGTATAGTTTACAACTATACTGACAACTGACACAATGAACCATGTGATCAGGTGCCTCACTGACACCCCCTTGTGTTGAGGAAGCCAGCACGCCACATCCACTTTCATCTTGCCCACAGAATTTCTTCAGTCACACTGAGAATGATGAGCCTTCGTTTTTATAGTTTTGTTTTTGAAGCATTTACAATGCGACTGGTTTAAAAAATCTGTCAATGTTAATTATGTGAAAGGGTTTTTAAAGCCATAGACCGAAATAATAGGTGATACATTGTACCTCATCCAGTGAATGTATAGTTTGCCACGATTACCAAAACATCTAGCCATTTTTATGTAATGGAGACTATACTCTTCCCTACAGTACAGTATTAATGCATTATGATCCAAGTTACAACGAAAACCGCAAATATGAACTACCAGTTACAACTCTAGTCATACATGTCAGTGCTTTGAAACAGGAAATGCATTTACTTCCATTCAGCAAGTTATTTTTCTATCAAGTTTCAGGATAGGGTCATGTTTTGTTTTGTTTTTTTACCAGACTTAAGCTGTCAGTGGATTTACACTACCGTTCAAAAGTTTGGGGTCAGTAAGTTAATACTGTAATTCAACACTGAAAATTCAACTTTGCCATCACAGGAATAAATTACATTTTAAAATATATTCAAATACTAAACAGTAATTTAAAATGTTACCACATGTCACAATGTTGCTGTTTTTACTGTATTTTTGTTCAAGTTGATTTCTTTCAATAACATAGAAAATTTTTACCAACCTCAAACTTTTAAACAGCGTGTATGTGACAGGCAATCACATTACCTCGTTACCTAGTTGTTCCCTACTGAAATTCCTCCATTTCATGTTTTTTTTTTCATATGTGGACATGAGACATGACAGACTGGAATCTATGCTAGACACCAAATATCAATATAAATATACTAATAACTGGTCCAGATGTTCAAAAATAGGCCTGAAGCTTCATATGTGTAATAATAAGCAATCCAAGTGGAGGGGTAGATACTAGTTGGAGGTCTGGTGTCTTATATAGGCTACACTACATAAACACTATCAAGCTGGAAGCACTAATTTTGTCTAAAATATCCATGTTTTATCTAAATGGTGGGAAAACAAAAGGACCGGTCAAAGGTTTTCTACCCACTACTTGTATGTCGGAGCATGATGCAGAAGAAAAGTTTCAAAGGTACAGTCGTGAAGTTTGACTTCACAATGGTGTAAATAACAGGTTTTGCTCAAACTGTCAGCCATCATGAATGCAAAAATTAAATGTTTATTACGTAAGTCGTGAGTCTTTCTGCATTTCGTAGACCTAATCATCTTCAGTGTCACATGATCCTTCAGAAATCATTCTAATATGCTGATTTGCTGTCCAAGAAATTATTATTATTATTAATGTTTAAAACAGTTAATATTTTTGTGGAAACCATGATACATTTCTCTCAGGATTATTTGATGTACAGAAAGTTATAAAGAACAGCATTTATTTGAGATAGAAATAACATTAGAAACATTAGAAATGTCTTTACTGTCACTTTAGATTCCTTCCTGAATGAATAAAAGTATTAATTTCTTACAAAAAATGTCCTTCCTGAATGAATAAAAATATAAATTTCTTACAAAAAAGAATCTTACTGACCTCAAACTTTTGAGTGTACCTCATAACTTTGACGAGGAGATAATCATATTCATATTCATACAAGCAAATGTATTAAGTGTGAAAGCGACAGTATTTTTGTAACAGGTTTGTGTTACTAAGTGAACTCATGTTTCCATAGTCTCCATTTCCCGGTGATGATGAAGAAGAGGTGTTTGACAGCATTGTGAATGACGAAGTCCGCTACCCAAGATTCCTCTCAACAGAAGCCATCTCCATTATGAGAAGGGTTGGTACTAAGAGCAGCTTTACCAGTGTGAATTTACCAGGTGCGGACATGAATATCATTCTTGTTATTAATATCTTTCACTTTCGCGCACAGTTATTAAGAAGGAATCCCGAGCGACGACTTGGAGCCGGTGAACGTGACGCGGAGGATGTGAAGAAACATCTGTTCTTCAGGGTAACTTCTGAACCATCTGGCTACATGTCTCAATTCATTCCAAGCAATGTATTTTTTTCCCCTTTCTCTTTCTCTATCAATATTATCTGTACCTTCTTTTTTCCAGAATATTGACTGGGATGGACTATTAGCAAAGAAAGTGAAGCCACCATTTGTACCCACAATCCAGAGTTCCAGTGACGTTAGTAATTTTGATGATGAATTTACCTCAGAGGCTCCGGTGCTCACACCGCCCAGAGAGCCCCGGCCCTTGACCCAGGATGAGCAGGACCTGTTTGCAGACTTTGACTATATTGCAGACTGGTGTTAGCCACTTGTTGACATCCGTCCCTCTCCACACACACACAGATACAGAAAATGTGAATCAGATCATTTGCAGAAATCCCTTTTTGTCGTCAGTGTTATTTTAGGATTACCACAACCCCTTTTCCGTATTAACATGATGAAGAAACGTTTATTATAATTTTTTTTTAAATGGAGTATGTTCAGGTTCGGGATAATTATTCCATTTCATCAGGACCTAAGCACTGATCATGAAAAACATAAACTGAGCAGTATAGTTTACAACTATACTGACAACTGACACAATGAACCATGTGATCAGGTGCCTCACTGACACCCCCTTGTGTTGAGGAAGCCAGCACGCCACATCCACTTTCATCTTGCCCACAGAATTTCTTCAGTCACACTGAGAATGATGAGCCTTCGTTTTTATAGTTTTGTTTTTGAAGCATTTACAATGCGACTGGTTTAAAAAATCTGTCAATGTTAATTATGTGAAAGGGTTTTTAAAGCCATAGACCGAAATAATAGGTGATACATTGTACCTCATCCAGTGAATGTATAGTTTGCCACGATTACCAAAACATCTAGCCATTTTTATGTAATGGAGACTATACTCTTCCCTACAGTACAGTATTAATGCATTATGATCCAAGTTACAACGAAAACCGCAAATATGAACTACCAGTTACAACTCTAGTCATACATGTCAGTGCTTTGAAACAGGAAATGCATTTACTTCCATTCAGCAAGTTATTTTTCTATCAAGTTTCAGGATAGGGTCATGTTTTGTTTTGTTTTTTTACCAGACTTAAGCTGTCAGTGGATTTACACTACCGTTCAAAAGTTTGGGGTCAGTAAGTTAATACTGTAATTCAACACTGAAAATTCAACTTTGCCATCACAGGAATAAATTACATTTTAAAATATATTCAAATACTAAACAGTAATTTAAAATGTTACCACATGTCACAATGTTGCTGTTTTTACTGTATTTTTGTTCAAGTTGATTTCTTTCAATAACATAGAAAATTTTTACCAACCTCAAACTTTTAAACAGCGTGTATGTGACAGGCAATCACATTACCTCGTTACCTAGTTGTTCCCTACTGAAATTCCTCCATTTCATGTTTTTTTTTTCATATGTGGACATGAGACATGACAGACTGGAATCTATGCTAGACACCAAATATCAATATAAATATACTAATAACTGGTCCAGATGTTCAAAAATAGGCCTGAAGCTTCATATGTGTAATAATAAGCAATCCAAGTGGAGGGGTAGATACTAGTTGGAGGTCTGGTGTCTTATATAGGCTACACTACATAAACACTATCAAGCTGGAAGCACTAATTTTGTCTAAAATATCCATGTTTTATCTAAATGGTGGGAAAACAAAAGGACCGGTCAAAGGTTTTCTACCCACTACTTGTATGTCGGAGCATGATGCAGAAGAAAAGTTTCAAAGGTACAGTCGTGAAGTTTGACTTCACAATGGTGTAAATAACAGGTTTTGCTCAAACTGTCAGCCATCATGAATGCAAAAATTAAATGTTTATTACGTAAGTCGTGAGTCTTTCTGCATTTCGTAGACCTAATCAGGTTGTAAATGGTTTATTTGTCACTTCAAAAAGGATTCTCTGGTGTTTCATGAAATCTTTATAATAACTGAGCTGTGGATACAGGAACAGAAACACACGAACAGAAACTTCTGCTTCATACCATTCCCCTCGTGAAAGAAAAAAAGAGGGGGAAACAAAACCATTCGTGAGCTACACGCTTTCAAAGCCCATGGTATTTGTACACCTGCTCTGGGGATTTCCGAGATGTTCACCATGCTTTTCTGAAAAGTATTTATTATTTAAGTTACTAAATATAATGCAAACAAGCTAACAAAATCATTTCCTACAAAAGAAAATGTTACAGTAAGAAATATGCCTAGTTGCAACCACCAAATTCTCACTTAGACATATGTACAATTTATATACACACAAATGAAAGTACAGCCTGCAATCTGTGATTTAACTTGGAATGTGTCTTCTGTACTTTGTCGAATCCCTGCCGTCGTCTTTTCAAAAGGCTTGTGTCTTCACGGGGGAAGAGCAAAACGTGCAAATTTCAAAGAGAAAAGGGCAAAAATTCTGAAAGTACAAAGAGCGGTGAGTGTGGGGCACATGGGTGTTCACAGTTGAGGCAGTTTATCCACTGGTGTGTCGAACTTGAAGTCTGGAGGAAAGAGATCGGCAGCGCGGGGATAAATGAGACGGTAGGACTGACGGATGGTGACGTCTGCCACTCCAGCAATGTCCCCAATCTCTGCACAGGAGAAAAATAACTTCCATTCATCAAGCACGCTAACATACCGCCTTTCGTTTTTGATTATCGCAATACTCGTCGACTGGATTATATATTTGTTCTCTCTTACCCTTCTGAGTCTTCTTCTCAGCAGACGCTTGAGAGGCCATGTAAATGGCTGCGGCTGCCACTGAGATCGGACTGCGCCCTGGAACCAAGTCCAGTTCAACGGCCTTCCTGGCGATGTAAGTGGCCGCCATCTGCACCTGTTTGGGCAAGCCCAAGTTGGAGCAGAAACGTGACATGAAGTCGCCGGTTGTAATGAGATCCACGCTCGTCTCAAGAGCCTTCAGGATAAGCTTGAAGCAGCGGCCAATCTCCTTCTTCGAGATCCGAGACACGGCACAGATTTCTGGGGTGGAGGGAGATAGAAATTAAATATATATCAAGACCTGCTGGAATATTGATAGCTAAATATCTTCAGTTCTAGAGTTATCTAGCATCATGCTAAAGGTGAAGTGTGTCATTTCTGCACCACAAGCATGGAGTTACAAAACGAAGAGGTTTTCCAGAACACTCCCTCTGCCTTCCACTGGTCATTCAAACAAATAAACTCACACTATTGAGGGCAACAGTGCCCACCCACTTTTTCAGTAGCCTTTGTTCTGGAAGAATTTTTTTCCCCACAGGGATTTAGAAAAGTCTTTTAAGAGTTATGAAACAACCAGCTATGAAGTGCTTTGGAACTTCTTCAAAGCCCCAAAAAATTAAATCAAGTATTTAATTGATGGTAAAAGATAACACTATTGATTTAAAGGTGTTAATTTAAAATTTGGCTAAAGCAAATACCATCGATTAACAACCTCGTAGCTCACAGTAAGTCTGTTTTTAACTGTTTATAAGTTATTGATCAAAATAAAATTGCCCTATGAAGAAAATGCTGACTGTTGCCCTCTATTGGTTGAGCCAATGTTGATGGTAGACACAGTAAATTCAGTACAATATAGTCTATTAATAAACAACAACATAAAAAAAAAAAGAGCAAGTGGTTTATACCTTTAAATGTTCTAGGGACGCCCTCCTGTCTGCACGCTATGTAAAGGCAGGCTGAAGCGATCGCATCATTACTTCTGCCTTTCAGACTCTTCTGTTCGTAAACCTGTTTGAACAAGTTGTTTGTTCGGTCCTGAAACAGAGAAAGGAAACTTTACTGAGAGGATGGAGGAATATGCTCTTCAAGTGAGGTTGGAAATACTGATTAAAGGGGTCAAATGATGTTGCTAAAAAGAACATTATTTTGTGCATTTGGTGTAATGCAATGTGTTTACGCAGTTTAAGGTTCAAAAAACATTATTTTCCACATACTGTACATTATTGTTTCTCATCTTTCTGAAATGCGTCGATTTTTACAAAGCTCATCGGTCTGAAAAGTGAGGTGTGCTCTGATTGGCCAGCTATCCAGTGTGTTGTGATTGGCCGAATACCTCAAGCAGAAATGTTACGCCCCTTACCATATTTGGAAACACACAGCGTCTCCACAACATGGTGGCAGCGACAACAACAATACTACAGCAAGAATAAAAGTTACGAATTCTTTCTTTGCGTATACATTTGGGCGGTGTTATCCAAATCATCCAACACAGTGACATAGATTTGTGGGGGTGTGTTTTAGGAAGGCGTGGGTGAGTCTTAACTTTTAGAAAGCATATCTCTTTTGAGTTTGAAACTTTAATCTTTGTGACTACAGATCTTATATATGCATGAACAGCTTGTAACACTCCAAAGACAAAGGAAAACATGAAATCACGTCATATGACCCCTTTAACGAATGACCATGAATGTTTTTAATAGTGCAAAACTCTTCTAGTCTAGTGATACACGCGTTGCCAAGTTCTGACATCAGATGTGTTGATGTAAAACATGACAGAAACACTTATCTATAATAGGTCAAATCTTCAATGTACAAACTTTATTTAGAGAAGCCAGCTCTAGTGAATGATTGTGCAAATTATTTTGAATTAACATCCTGTATTTCAATCATTTTAATGGTGTGATTTACAAAGCAGCTTACAGACAAAAAGTGTTAAGTTAATCACTCAACTTTCATGGTTTGCTTTAAAAAAACAAACAAATATTTTTTATCATGTATGTTATACAAAATTCTGAAGTAGTTATTTGGCTTAACTGTTTACAATATCATTTTTTGGTTTGGTTTAGTTTAGTTATGTGTTATGTTTTTGACTTGAACGAGTGCATAATTACGTTACCATCTAATTCAATAACAGTAGGCTGGGACACTCACGATTAGAGGTCGACCGATGAATCGGCACCGATAGTTGATTGGCGGAACTATCGGTTATCGGCAAAAATCAATGCCGATAGTTTTCCGGGTTGCGTCCGATGCTGGAGTGGCTGAGAAGGGTCCGCTGCCATCATATAGTACAAGAGCGGCCTCTAGAGGCGGAAATCACTAACAGCACGTGTTGTTTGTTTTGACACGTGACACTGCGCGCTGCACAGAGCGGGAAACTTCAAACGTGCATTTAAATGCAGCCGACAGAAAATCCTGCCGCGGAACAAGGTCAAATATCACCTCGTAATGGGAAGGCCATTTTCAAATTTCAAATGTTGGTGCTCTTAAATTTTTTAAGTTAGGAGCACAAGCGCTCCTAAAAAGAAAAATAAGCGTAGATCCCTGCATCGCTGCGCTTCTGTCCAGTGTGTGACTTGCATATTTTTTTTATTTTGATTAGATAATCATGCAGTGTTCTAAAATAGAAGCAAATAAAGTGTGAGAGTACACATACAATATCAATAAAATATGTATGTAATTTTAATGCTATGGCCTTGTGTAGTTATTTAAAGATGGCCATCTTTAAGCATGACTGTTGAAATTAAATGGTAATACTTTACAGTAAGAGTCCTTTTGTAATATTAATGAAAGCTGTAAAAGTATTGTTCCTAGTGTGTTCATTTCAACATTTACTATTACAACATTTACTATTACTAATAGGCTATATTTGTACATTTTAAAGTTTCTTTTTTTAACATTAGTAAACTATGAAATAACTTTAATGATCAATATAATAATTAATATTAATATGTTTATTCATTTACAAAGTATGGTTCAGTACTGCTACTGCTTTTTTAAAAATAGTAAAGCGCTGTTTTAGTTTTCGTTTACCATTTTTAAAACTATCGGTTGATTAATCGGTATCGGCCAGTGTGGTCCAACCTAGCTATCGGTATCGGTAAAATCCACTATCGGTCGACCTCTACTCACGATGATGTTTCTGGGGAGGTTGATCCTGTCGGCCATGGTGGTTATCTCCTTGAAGGCATTCAACATGGCTCGATCGGAGCTGCTCATGGTTCTCCGATTCTGGTACTTGGAATTTCCAAACTCATCAAAGCTCGCTGCACCTGTTCCCTGAAATACCATATTTAAAAATCATGATGAAAACACACATTTATGCATGTATGCATTATAAATAGGTAGACAAGTTCCTTACTTTGCTGATCATGGTGGTGAGGTCTCCTCCATTGAGGAGAGGGTTCTGAGTGTCACCAACACGAGACGGATCTTTAGTTGCTTTCTCATTGGTGAACGTTCTCCACTCTGACCCTACATCAATTACACGGTCACCTAAGAAAGAAAGAAAACACAAGCTTATTGTCTTATTGTTTAAGTTAGTGATGAAAAATGTCCACTTAAAGCTTGAATATTCAGAAGCAGATGGAAACTCATACCTACTACGAGGCCGCATTCAGGACAGATCATGTCTCCTGCCCTGTAGTCCTCCACCAGTATTGCATCGGGGTGATTGGGGCATTGCACCTTGGGAAGAGAGTCTCCACTAAAACAGACAAAATTCCAGAGGTCAGGAAAAATCCACATGAACTCTTGAACTCTACTGACATTAGAAAACAACTGTTTGTCTGTGGATTAGGATACAGTAAACACTACAGGAAGATGCCAAATGAACCACCACAGATACTCATATAAAGCAGGGGCATATTAGATTTTTTTTTTTTAATTGGATACAGATCAATTCATTAGAGAAGTTCTTGATGCATCATTTCCTTTTCTTTGTTTTTTTTTTTTCTTATCTATTTTTTTAAACAGTAATGAACTTCTACATGGGAATATATATATATATATATATATATATATATAAATAATCTAAACCTTACTTTAAATATGACATCAACTTTTAGTGTTCCTCTCTGACCCCTATTGACTTGTAAATTAATCCATTATTTTAAATATGCCATATGCTCAGCTAAGGGGGTTGTTATGCATCAAATTATATATTCGTGCAATCCCTATAAAATTATAAGCTTTAAATATATAAATATTAAAACAAAAATAAAAAATAACAGTGGACTAAAGGGTGGCTTGGACTGTTACAGCAGGTGACTGCTACTAAACACTGATGTTATAGCCTCAACAACGCAGACATGGGTTAGGATAAATAAAGAAAATGTTTATTAGATAAATAAATATCAATAGGAATCGCTTCCTGAGAGTTTTCAAGAGCCCATCTTGTTAGTGATGTATGCGCAGTTAGCTCTGTTGTGACCGTGTTGTTTGGTTTGGTTTTGACAGGCATCTCAACCTTCCACGCAGATCTGAAACAATTTATCTGACGGCTTGTCTTTAAAAATTATTTGCAGAAATGAGCTCTCATTGTGTCGTATTTCATACGATGCGAACAGCTAGCCAACGTGCGCTAGCAGAAAATGACAGTGTACTCATTATCCAAGATCTGCTTTATACGCACCACAACGACAACAAACTACGACTAAAAAGCCTGTAGAGGCCCACACCGGACAGATTCAAAGGTCATCTACGCCATCCTTTACAAAACGACATCAGAGAGACACAAAACCAGCAGAAATGGTAACTAACCGGCTCGTCGACGCCATACTGTTACTGTCTGTTGTCCACGGCAGTGACTCTGGTGAACACAATGGACGCCCGCTGCCCATATTTATAGGTTTTCTAGGTCACGTGTACAGGGCAGAGACGGAAAGCCACAAGTGCCAAACTTACAAATTTATGATTCGACATTCATTCGTGTTCAAAAATTAATGAGAAGTCGTTTCTTGCATTTAAGATACGCGCCGTTTCTTCTCATTACATTTCAAATCTTCAGTTTCAACCTTAAAATACAGGAATTCAATTTGTTATATTTTTCACATTAAGTAGTCTCTTTATCTGACATTCCAGATTGAATTCATTATACAGTTAATATAAAAATATAACAGTTTTATTATATATACAACAGCCCAACTTAGATGTTAGAGCCAGCCCTAGCACAATATGCATCTAATTTTGTAGTTTGTTTTAACTCAAATTCGATTATAAATAGAGCTGTATAATACATTACAAGTCTGGTCTGAAACATAACACAGGCGCAGTAGGCCTATTGCACATGGCTTTAATTTGACTACAATGGAAAATGCACGTGATTTGCAGTCTCATTTTAAAACTATTTGTCACTATTTGTTCTTTTTAATTCCTCTGTTTACTGACAAGGCCTTTAAAGTTTAAACAATGCTGTATTTAAAATTATATACCATCCCTAAATTCATTAATCATTTGTGCTTAATAATGCAGATGTCTCATACAAAGTTATTATTGGTTTAATTCCTCCTGTAGTGCTCTCAGAAACCAAGGGTTGGGCCCTTTTATAATCATGCTATGGTGAGAACACTCATATCTCTCTTAACTCATAAGGGATAATCTGTTCTCGTCTAATGATATTCCAGAGCACTAAAGGAGCAAATGCACTGATAAACAGGTGATGACATCTTATATACATTTTTATGGCAGCTGCATGTGTAAAATAAAATGTGTTGAACTTATATAAACAGTAGAAATGGGGATCATTTGGGCTTCTGTCATTTAGGGAAATAAGTATGCATGCCATAAACTATATTATGATTCTTTATGAATAATCAAAAGCATTCGAAACACTGGTGGAATTTTAAAAAATGACAGAAGAGGAAGAAAAATACACGTGTTCATGATTCAGTCAGACAGACAACAAAGGAAAATCTATGTTCCTCTTTACAAACTAGCTGAAACTTGAAAAAAACATTTGGGGTGGGTAAATTTAGTAACCAAGACATTTCCTGCACACTGTGCCAACCAAACATTACTCCACCATTTAAGCATCTAAGTCCTAGTTTCCTTATAATAAAAAGGAAGAAGAAAAGAAAGTATAAGAAAGAGTGATCGGGGTCTTAATTATTAAATAGTTATGGCTGTCAGAACTGTAATACTTCACAGACTCCACCTTTAATTAAAAAAAAAACTTTATCTAAAACACTGCTTTGTGTACTGGGCGCGTCTGCAGCTCTAAGAGCCTTTTTGTTGATAATTCACCTTTATCCAGTGCGTTCATAAACGCTACGCTGTCAACGTCCAATGAAATACGCAGTTGACGAACGGAACAGCTCCGTCATCTTGACTGCTGAACTACAAGTCGGAGCAGGTCGGACAAAGAATCGCAAATTTGAACCTCACGCCGAAGTTAGACTGCTCTGGACGGCGTGTGCAGTGCTTGATGGACACTACATTACTACGCTGAAACAAGACTGTTTGGTGGCGATTATGCTGACTTTTGTAGTCCGTTTCCTGCTCAACAACAACTTTTGACAAATCTAGCGTTTAAAGCAATATGACAATCAGGATAAGGACAGCGCGCACTCTTCCATCCCAGTGAAAAACAGCATAGAGACAGTAAGTAGACCGTTTTACTGTTTTAATCTGGGTCTTTGAGGCTTATTTCTTCCTACTACCTAGAAATATATTATTCCCAGGGGCTGCATGTTATGTGAGTTCAGCAGTTTAGCGTTTCAGACTCTGTCTGCCTCGTAGATCTTGACATCAAATTACTGTATTATACGAATGAGAATATTTCTATTTTAAGACAATGTTTCATTAGCCTGATAATATCCATTTCAGAACAACCTAGAAACTTTTCAAATTAAATTTACAGGGTCATCGACTAAATGGCTGCATTTGCATTCTGAATTGGTGATTTTAAAAAAGTTTACTCATAATAATTTATGAAAACTAAAGCCATAATTTGGCCTCGTGCTGTCTTGGCTCTACAAGGCGCTTCTTAACAGAATTTAATGTTGACATACATTAAAACAGTTTTGTGTATTTGCAAGGTCGCCCCCTACTGATAAATCTAACAAAATATGAATTGAAGTCACCAAGGCTTGTCCTGAAAAGAGAATTAGCTGTAAAAGTCAAAATAAAGACACATAAAACACTCTTTTTGTGGAATGACCCCGCGATGCAATCAACTCAAAGTTAGAATCGTGGGCTTCTTAGCTTATATATTTCTTAAATCCCTTAAATGGTTAACACAGACAATTCTAATAATTACCAGCTGCCATGTGTTTCCAGACTCTATTTCTCATGCACTACTCTGAGAAAATGGCAGACATCAAATAAAGCAGTGCTCGAACTGTGTGCATGCCACTGGGAGTTTAAAAACAGAATTGGGCTATAAATACCACGATGGCAGCCAAAAATGTTTTAACCCAGAATCAGGAATCACATCTGAAGTGAATGGACACATGTTTCTCATGCCACACAAACATGCGAGTCGTCGCAGTGAAGTGCTATTTCAAACATAACACACTCTTGAGATGGTTCGGACCTTTCATGTTGTAACTTGAAGCCACATGTGGCTAGCAGGTATTTTTCGAATTATGCACAGTCAGTACATGCACTCTGCATGGTTTAACTCACTCTTTTATATATACATTTGTGCTGTAAGTAATTTTCAGTGAAATAATCTGATTAAATGTAAATCTGCTCAATAAAATATAGTGTTCGCTTACTTTATTTTGGAGTAAACACCCAAGACCTTTGAAGAATGTTGAGACATGTAATAGACTCAAATTAATTCTGTTCAAACATGCACTGGTTTCATATGCACTGACTGCACTACTCTTTATTGCAGGGATGTTTAGTCTAACTGAAGTTGCCTCCCTTAATGACATCCAGCCGAAATACCGTATTCTGAAACCATGGTGGGATGTGTTCATGGATTATATTGGAGTAATAATGTTGATGTTAGCCATCTTTTCTGGGACTATGCAGTTATCCAAAGACCAAGTGGCATGTCTTCCCATTCTTGAGGAAAGCACAAACCCTGAGGCAGCACAAAATCAACTAGAATGTTCCACATCAGTTCTGGGCACCGCACCCTCAACAACCAGAGACCTTCCTGACAGTGTTGCACATGAACTCCTTAACACTCAACCTACCCCCTTAAAAGGAGAAGATAGGTGGTCTCAACCTCAACCCAGAGGACGAAAAACAAATCTGGACTATCAGCAGTATGTTTTTGTCAACCAAATGTGCTACCATGATGCCCTACCATGGTACAACAAATACTTCCCTTACCTTGCCCTCATACACACCATAATGCTAATGGTAAGCAGCAATTTTTGGTTCAAGTACCCAAAGACCAGCTCAAAGATTGAACACTTTGTTTCCATTTTGGGGCGGTGCTTTGAATCACCATGGACAACGAAAGCTTTGTCTGAAACTGCTTGTGAAGATTCTGAGGAAAAGCAGAGATTCACAGGTGGTGTGGTTTTCCAGAAACACGTATCCTCGGAGGACAGCAGTCAGTCTACACCTTTAATTGAAACTCCAACGGTGCAGTTTCCAACTGAAAAGCTTATTGCAGAAGCTCCTAGCCTGACCACCTTAGACAAAAAAGATGGAGAACAAGCCAAGGCTCTTTTTGAGAAAGTGCGAAAATTTCGAGTCCATGTAGAAGACAGTGACTTCATCTATAAACTCTACGTTGCTCAGACAGCGATAAAAGCACTAAAGATCATTTTGATCTTGAGCTATACATCAACATTTGCCTCAAAGATCAGTTTCTGCCATATATGCCAACCTAAAATCGAAAGTTTGACCGGGTATGATCAGTTCATTTGCACGCACAACATGGCATTCATGTTGAGGAAACTTCTTTTCACTTTTATGGCTATGATATGTCTCTATGGACTGGTGTGTTTGTATACACTCTACTGGCTCTTCAGGAGACCTCTTAAGGAGTACTCTTTTGAAAAAGTCAGAGAGGAAAGTAGCTTTAGTGATATTCCTGATGTCAAAAATGACTTTGCGTTTCTTCTACACATGGTCGACCAATACGACCAGTTGTACTCCAAACGATTTGGCGTATTTCTCTCTGAGGTGAGTGAGAACAAACTACGAGAAATAAGCCTTAACCACGAGTGGACGTTTGAAAAAATACGTCAGCATGTGACATCCAATGCTCAAGATGAACAAGAACTTCACCTCTTTATGCTGTCGGGACTCCCTAATGCTGTATTTGACCTCACCGATCTGGAAGTCCTCAAGTTAGAGCTTATTCCTGAGGTCAGGATTTCAGCCAAAGTTTCTCAGATGACCAACCTACGGGAACTACATCTGTATCACTGCCCCGCTAAAGTCGAACATACTGCTTTCACTTTTCTCCGCGACCATCTGCGATGCCTTCACATTAAGTTTACTGATGTAGCAGAAATCCCACCGTGGATTTATCTGTTGAGGAGCCTAAAGGAACTGAACCTGATTGGGAACTTGAACTCTGAACACAACAAGATGATCGGTTTGGAGTCACTTAGAGATCTGAGACACTTGAGGATGTTGTACCTCAAAAGCAATCTCAACAAAATACCAACTAATCTAACAGAACTCTCGCCACATCTCACCAAACTGGTGATACACAATGATGGGACTAAATTACTGGTACTGAACAGTCTCAAGAAGATAACGAGCCTGGTTGATTTGGAGCTCCAGAACTGTGATTTGGAGAGGATCCCCCATGCCATTGCATTATACGAATGAGAATATTTCTATTTTAAGACAATGTTTCATTAGCCTGGTTATATCCATTTCAGAACAACCTAGAAACGTTTTTAATTTAAATTTACAGGTTTATTTATTATTATTTTTATTATTATATACATTTACTAAATGTGTGTGCATTTCCATTCTGAAATGATTTTAAAAAGTTTACTGATAATAATTTCAGTGCAGTTTTATAGTATACAGTTTTATCCATTTGGCCTTGTGTGTCTTGACACTACAAGGTATTTCTTAAGAGAATTTATTACTGACATACGGTACATTAAAACAGTTTTCTGTATTTTTACGATCGCCCCCTACTGACAAATATAACAAAATGTGAATTGTAGTGATGGAGGACGCTTAAACTTGTCCTGGAAAGTTCACTATATATAAAAGTCAAAGTAAAGACACATAAAATACTATTTTTGTGAAATGACGCAGCTATGCAATCAACTCAAAGTTAGAATTGTGGAATACTTAGCTTATATATTTCTTAATTCCCATAAATGGTTAACAAAGACAACTCTAATGATTAACAGCTGCCATGTGTTTCCAGAATCTATTTCTCACGCACCACTTTGAGAAAATAGCAGGCATCAAATAAAGCAGTGCTCGAACTGTGCGCATGCCACTGGGAATTTAAAAACAGAATTGGGCTATTAATACGACATTGGCAGCCAAAAATGTTTTAACCTAGAATCAGGAATCGTATCTGAAGTGAATGGACATGTGTTTCTCATGCCACACGAACATGTAAGTCATCACAGTGAAGTGCCATTTCAAACATGACACACTCTTGACATGTTTAGGACCTTTCATGTTGTAACTTGAAGCCACATGTGGCTAGCAGACATTTGTCAAGTCATGCAGTCAGTACATGCACTCTGTGTGGTTTAACTCACTCACTTATGTAGGCCTATACATTTGTACTGTAAGTCACTTTCAGTAAAAGAACCTGACAAAATGTAAATCTACTTGATCAAATATAGTTTTTTTTTTTTCTTGGAATAAACACCTAAGACTTTCAAATGTGTACACCAATAACATCTCTAAATGTTGATTACGTGTAATAGACTCTTATGTACAATTACTCACATGTAATTCATTCTGTTCAAATATGCACTGGTTTCATATGCACTGACTGCACTACTCTTTATTGCAGGGATGTTTAGTCTAACTGAAGTTGCCTCCCTTAATGACATCCAGCCGAACTACCGTATTCTGAAACCATGGTGGGACGTGTTCATGGATTATATTGGGGTAATAATGCTGATGTTAGCCATATTTTCGGGGACTATGCAGTTGTCCAAAGACCAAGTGGCATGTCTTCCCATTCTTGAGGAAAGCACAAACCCTGAGGCAGCACAAAATCAACTAGAATGTTCCACATCAGTTCTGGGCACCGCACCCTCAACAACCAGAGACCTTCCTGACAGTGTTGCACATGAACTCCTTAACACTCAACCTACCCCCTTAAAAGGAGAAGATAGGTGGTCTCAACCTCAACCCAGAGGACGAAAAACAAATCTGGACTATCAGCAGTATGTTTTTGTCAACCAAATGTGCTACCATGATGCCCTACCATGGTACAACAAATACTTCCCTTACCTTGCCCTCATACACACCATAATGCTAATGGTAAGCAGCAATTTTTGGTTCAAGTACCCAAAGACCAGCTCAAAGATTGAACACTTTGTTTCCATTTTGGGGCGGTGCTTTGAATCACCATGGACAACGAAAGCTTTGTCTGAAACTGCTTGTGAAGATTCTGAGGAAAAGCAGAGATTCACAGGTGGTGTGGTTTTCCAGAAACACGTATCCTCGGAGGACAGCAGTCAGTCTACACCTTTAATTGAAACTCCAACGGTGCAGTTTCCAACTGAAAAGCTTATTGCAGAAGCTCCTAGCCTGACCACCTTAGACAAAAAAGATGGAGAACAAGCCAAGGCTCTTTTTGAGAAAGTGCGAAAATTTCGAGTCCATGTAGAAGACAGTGACTTCATCTATAAACTCTACGTTGCTCAGACAGCGATAAAAGCACTAAAGATCATTTTGATCTTGAGCTATACATCAACATTTGCCTCAAAGATCAGTTTCTGCCATATATGCCAACCTAAAATCGAAAGTTTGACCGGGTATGATCAGTTCATTTGCACGCACAACATGGCATTCATGTTGAGGAAACTTCTTTTCACTTTTATGGCTATGATATGTCTCTATGGACTGGTGTGTTTGTATACACTCTACTGGCTCTTCAGGAGACCTCTTAAGGAGTACTCTTTTGAAAAAGTCAGAGAGGAAAGTAGCTTTAGTGATATTCCTGATGTCAAAAACGACTTTGCATTTCTTCTACACATGGTCGACCAATACGACCAGTTGTACTCCAAACGATTTGGCGTATTTCTCTCTGAGGTGAGTGAGAACAAACTACGAGAAATAAGCCTTAACCACGAATGGACGTTCGAAAAACTACGTCAGCATGTGACCTCCAATGCTCAGGATGAACAAGAACTTCAACTCTTTATGCTGTCGGGACTCCCTAATGCTGTATTTGACCTCACCGATCTGGAAGTCCTCAAGTTAGAGCTTATTCCTGAGGTCAGGATTTCAGCCAAAGTTTCTCAGATGACCAACCTACGAGAACTACATCTATATCACTGCCCCGCTAAAGTCGAACAAACTGCTTTCACTTTTCTCCGCGACCATCTGCGATGCCTTCACATTAAGTTTACTGATGTAGCAGAAATCCCACCGTGGATTTATCTGTTGAGGAGCCTAAAGGAACTGAACCTGATTGGGAACTTGAACTCTGAACACAACAAGATGATCGGTTTGGAGTCACTTAGAGATCTGAGACACTTGAGGATGTTGTACCTCAAAAGCAATCTCAACAAAATACCAACTAATCTAACAGAACTCTCGCCACATCTCACCAAACTGGTGATACACAATGATGGGACTAAATTACTGGTACTGAACAGTCTCAAGAAGATAACGAGCCTGGTTGATTTGGAGCTCCAGAACTGTGATTTGGAGAGGATCCCCCATGCCATCTTTAGCTTGGCTAACTTGCAAGAACTGGATTTGAAGAATAATAATATCCGGACCATTGAGGAGATCATAAGCTTTCAGCACCTGAGAAGATTGATGTGCCTCAAGTTATGGTACAACAAGATCACTGCCATTCCACCATCGATAGGCCTAGTGAAGAGTCTGGAGTCCCTCGTTATCTGTCACAATAAACTAGAGACCCTTCCTCCAGCTTTGTTTCATCTGCCCAAGCTGAGGCACATTGACCTCAGCCACAATTGCATCTCAAGTATACCAGTGGAGGTTGGATACCTTCACAACCTTCAGCATTTCGCAATCACTGGGAACAAGGTAGAGGTTCTGCCTAATCAACTGTTTAAATGTTCCAAACTAAAGGTTTTATGTGTGGGTCATAACAGCATCACTTCCATTCCAGAGGCGATTGGGCAGTTAGTTCAGCTGTCCCATCTAGAGCTCAAAGGGAACTGCTTAGATTGCCTTCCATTTCAGCTTGGCCAGTGTCGCCTTCTTCGGAAAAACCTCCTGTTCGTGGAGGATCATCTTTTCGACACACTGCCTCTGGAGGTCAAGGAAAGTATCAGTAGTGAATAATGGACTGATGGACATTTAAATTCTGCAGAAGTCTGCAAAAACTTTTATGGGCCTGTCATCAACAATATGGTCTATAAATGGGCCTCAAAGACAGGAAGCAAATACACACGTGTTGCAACATACAACAGGAAAATTGCAAACAACAGGTTTGTGTTTGCTTCTGTTTGCCATTTGTTTAAATTATGTTCTGTTATACTTGTATATTGTATTTACATACATTTTTGTTGTCATATTGAATATGCAGGCTGATGCATATTGTAAAGAGACGGTGCACCCAAAAATTGCAATTCTGTCATTATTTACTTGTCATCCCAAACTTGTATGACTACTGTGGAACACAAAAGGAGATATTTTGAACTGTTTTTTGTCCATTAATGGGGCCCAAAACAACATCCGACCCTACTGACTTTTATTGTATGGACCTATAAATAATGACAGAATGACCATTTCTGGGTGAACTATCCCTTTAAGTATTGAAAGGTCAGTAGTTCTCATAAATTTGTTTTCAAAAGTGTCTATCAACGGCAGTTTTCAGTGAGGTCTTTTCTTTAACTCTTTAGTTATGGAAACAATCCCAACATAGAATACATTTTATGTTTTTTATACAACATTAAACACATGTAAATGTATCATGTATTTTGTTAGATTTGTCCTCTGAGTTTAGGAGCTGCACTTCTCAGCATTTTATACGCTCCAAAAGACAAGATCTGACAGGATGAAAGATTTGATGAAAGTTCATCTTTTCTATTTAGCAATAACAGCAATATTGCAACGCGCTTTCGAGTCGAAGAATTTGTTTTTGTATTTCCTTTGTTAAGAGTGAAACATATGAAATGTTTTTGCTGTGTTATGCTGATAAGAGGCATATCAAGGACTAAGAACTGCCAGGGGGGATGGGGAGGGGAGTGTACACCCTGCACCTCATTATTAGAAAGACAGTGACCTTGTAAAGCTGCCCTCGGTTTACTTTTGCGCTGTCATTATTATATCTTAGAAGCCAAACGCTTGTCAAAGAACATCTACAACAACTGCCCTTAACATTCTCTGTTGTGTAATTATTAATGCCTTATTTTTTCTGTTCTCTTAATTATTAATAAATGTTGTGTATGAACAAGACTTCGATACATGTTACAATGTTTTTAAAAAGCAATTAGATTAACCTTCAGGTTTAGCACGAAGGGCTAATATTACAAAGAACAATACCTGCAGGGAGGGTTAGCCCACCCCCTTCTGTTTGGTTTTATTGTCGTTTCCTGTAGACATTTCTATCTTGATAACTGTTTATAGTTACAGCTGGTGAAAAAAGACACTGAGCCCTTCGGTTCAATACAGTCTGCAAGTGTTTGTGAATGGAG